CTCCTGGCCACCGCAGCCTTGACCTGCTAGGCTCCAGCAATCCTTCCACCTCAGCCTTCCAAGTTGCTGGAACTACAGGTGCACGCTACCATGCCCGACTGATTTTTGATTTATTGTGAGATGAGTTCTCATCAACTTGCCCAGGTGGGTCTCGAGCCCGCAGGCTCAGGCAATCCACTTATCTCAGCCTCCCAAAGCGTGGGATTACAGGCTGAGCCACCGAGCCCAGCTTCCTTTTTTTTTTGAGTCAGAGTCTCACTCTGTTGCCTAGGCTGGAGTGCAGTTGCACAATCATGGCTATCACAGCCTGGACCTGCTGAGCTCAGATGGTCCTTATGCCTCAGTCTCTTGAGTAGCTGGGACGACAGGCATGTACCACCATGCCCAGCTAATTTTTTAATTTATTGTAGAGACGAGGTCTCGCCATGTTGCCCAGGCTTGTCTTGAACTCCTGAGCTCAAGCAATCCTCTCGCCACGGCCTCCCAAAGTGCTGGGATTACAGGTATGAGCTACTGACCCCGGTCCACTCTGCACTTTTATTTTGTTACCAAACAATATTTTAGGGGTGTATGTCATATTTCACATATATAAAACAGCTGCATAATATTTCATGGAATGCACTACAATTTAAGTATTCCCTACTGATGAACATTTAGATTGTTTGCAATATTTCATTATTACCAACAGTGCTGCAATAAATGTCCTTTTTTTCCCTGTAATTATCATGTGCTTCTGTTTTAACAAGACATTTAAGAAGAAAGAAAGAGCCGGGCTCAGTGGCTCAGCCTATAATCCCAGCACTTTGGGAGGCCAAGGTGAGTGGATTGCCTGAGCCCGCGGGTTCAAGACCCACCTGGACAACTTGGTGAGACCTCATCTTACAATAAATCAAAAATTAGCTGGGCGTGGTAGCATACACCTGTAGTTCCAGCTACTTGGAAGGCTGAGGCGGAAGGATCGCTGGAGTCCAGCAGGTCAAGGCTGCAGTGGCTGGAAGCGACCACTGCACTCCAGTCTGGGTGACAGAGTGAGACTTCAACTCAAAAAAATAAAATAAAATAAAATAAAAGAAAGTGTAAGAGGGAGGGAGAGAAGGAGGGAAAGGGGGGGAAGAAGAAAATAAATCATTCCGATGTCAGACATATGGATTGTTTCAACCTTTTGCTATTATAAATAGAAAAGCAAGACTAATTGGCTGCAAGGTAACTGGAGGTTACTTTTTTAAATGTAAAAAAATAGACAAATATATGTCATAAGACTGTACAAGATTCCTATCTTTTAAAAAAATCGCTGAGGCTAAATTCAGATAAATTATGCAAAATTATCATTTCAGCCAAGTTGTTACTGACAAAGTTGTATGTTTCCCAGGCTGAATGTGGGGCCTCAGCTCTGAGGAAAGCTGAGAGAGTGTGGCTGGGTCCAGACTCTAGCCTAAAGCACACAAGAAACAGGGCCTGACCAAGTCAGACTACAGACTTTGGGGTGGAGTAAGAGAGGATGAAAATAGGAACAAAAGCTGGGCGTGGTGGCTCCGACCTATAATCTCAGCACTTTGGGAGGTCAAGGTGAGGGGATTGCCTGAGCCCAGGGGCTTGAGACCAGCCTGGGCAACTTGGTGAGACCTTTTCTCTGCAATAAATTGGGAAAAATTAGCCAGGTGTGGTGGCACGTGCTTGTAATTCCAGCTAGTTGGAAGGCTGAGGGGGAAGGAGTGCCTGAGCCCAGCAGCGACAGAGTGAGACTCCGACTCAAAAAAAGAAAATAGAAAATAGGAACGCGGGCTGATGGTTGCCCTCAAGTAATCAAAGA